TATGTGCCTATGAATAGGCTATTATGTACTACTGCATGGGGATCATATTATTACTTGTCGTATGTGCCTATTAATAGGCTATTATGTACTACTGCTAATGGGTGCGTATTACTATGTACTAATATCTACTACAGCTAAGTACTTGTAGACTTTCTATAGTGGGTGTACTACGGTGTACTATGTACTGCTTATGAGATAACCCACTACCAATGCATGTGGACTACATACTGCTTATGATACTATTTACAGCGTATGTGCGTACTATGTACTACTGCTAATGGGTGTGGATTATGGACGAGTGCTGATGGGTGTGGATGATTATGTACTGCCGTCTTCATCCGAGTAGAACGCCCGGTCATTATAGCTGTATTTGGTGGAGCTTTCAGTCTAGATGTAGTGGTAATAACCGGTCGTTCTATTCGGGTACGTACCACTACTAATGGATGCGGCGGACGTGGTGCTCACCATACTATGTAGTGTGTACTATATACTACGTGCGTGCTATGTATGTGCTGCGGACTATATATTAATAGTACGTGCATACTATGTGCACTGCGGACTATATACTAATAGTATGTGCGTGCTATGTGCACTGCGGACTATATACTAATAGTATGTTGTGCGTACTTGGTACTGCTGCTAATGAGAGCGAATTATGTGTGTGCTATGTACTACCACTAATGCACGCTGACTATGTACTGTTTACTATACTGCATACTTTAGGTAGGTCTTGTGTCCAGGATTGTGCTATGTACCTACTTTGTCGAATGCGTGCAGTCTATGTATGGTGCTATGTACCTACTTTGTAGAATGCGTGCAGACTGACTATGTACTGTGTACTTTATATCGTAGTTGTGCTAAATGCCTCTTATGTGCTGCTAGTACTAATGCACGCGGACTGTGTCCTGCTTAGTATAGACCATACTTGTACTATGTGCGTACTATGCACTGCTATTCCATGTGGACTATGTACTGCTTACTATACACCATACAAGGGCCACATGCGTCCTCCGCAATCGACATACTTCTAACTTCCATAATGGTACTTCTAGACCTCCCTCTTTTTATTCCTTGTGTGTTCTCCAGATCCCACTGGGAAGGATCAACCCTCAAAACAGCGATTTCGTCAAAGTCGGACAAATTATATTTTTCGAGCGACATTGAAATGTCAATTTTTGGGCAAGAAAGCATGAAATTGAGGGTACGGCGAACGGGCGAACGCCGTACCCTCAATTTCATTGCCTTTTTGCCCAAAAAATTACATTCCAATTTCGTTCTAAAAATATAATATGTCCGTTTTGAGGAAATAGCTGTTCTCAATTCATATAGCGATTTACTCTCATCCCAGGAAAGGCCTTGTGGAGATCTTGTCATTTGGTTTTCAAAGTTTTGTTTACCTAGCATACCAATTTCATTGGGGATATCTCAGATGGGAAACACTCATTTTTCTACGAGCCAATCTACTGTCTTCCCTGGAATAGAACGTATGGTCATTATGCCCGTATCTAGACTGAAAGCTCCCCCAAATGCAGCCACCTGTAATCCGTAGGGTGGTCCCTAGGGTGAGGGTGGCCCCTGTAATCCATTAGAGCTTTCACAGGCCGTCTTGCGAGTAATACATGCACTTGACACTAGGGTCCAGAAGCCCCGAAGCCACTGAACCCTAAACCTTAAACCCTAATCCCTAAACACTAAGCCCTTCCTAAATCCCAATCACTAAACCCTAACCCTAAACCTTAAACCCTAATCCCTAAACACTAAGCCCTTCCTAAACCCCAATCACTAAACTCTAGCCCTAAACCTTAAACCCTAGACCCTTAATCGCAATCCCTAAACGGGAAACCGGAAACTGCAAATCCTACCCTTGCTTTTTTTTTTTTTTTTCGTTTTGTTTTTGCAACAATCCCGTCCTTTTGTATATTATAGAACCGGAGATCGGGTCCAGTGTTCCTTACATAAAACAGCACACACACGCTTTCACCCGGTACGGCCGATGGACCCTGAGGCAAGGGCATTGATTGGTTCTTCTGGAAGGATGTACCCCTGCTTCACCCGTGTTCCTTTCGTCTCCATGCTCTGCGGCTTTCCTGAAAGCATCCCACATTTTCTTCCATCAGTGTCTCGCTCTCAAGTGTCTCTCTGGAGAGATCTTGAATATATGCTTAGATTGTATGTAACCTATATGATTCGACGTATCTCATCACAACAGATAGACAGCTATGCAGCACCTGTATGAAGTCAAAGTTCCCAATTTTAAGAGAATTCCCACTAAGATAACAGATCCAGCGGTGGGTGCTTCTACATGAGCTTCAGGTAACCAAATATGAACTGGTACCATAGGTACTTTCACTGCTTAACAGACATTCGCTCTAACCACTGAGCTACTAGAGACCTTTCTATTGTCGTATTTTTTTGATAGTCTTTTGAAAATCTATCATATTTTGTTGAAAAACATCTTGTCTTTTTACTCGAGTAGTCTTATGCATGGTAAGTACTATAGCTCCAATCATGGCCACTAATAAAATAAGACTTGAGACTGTATCATCATTCCATCTTATATATATGGGATGTCTGGTGTGCAGTCGTTGAGGCTTTACGGTCTTAAGACTTCCTTCCCTGCTGATTGTCTGCACCGACGCATTCATTGTTGGATACTCGGCGGAGGTTTTAAGTCAGTTGAAGTGAGAATCAAAGGTTTAGGTTATGGAAAGCCTTCGGCCTTACGTGGTTTACAATTAGGAGGTCTTATTATAACCAAGATTAGCGATGTAACTCCAATGCCACATAACGGATGTTGTCCTCCTAAGAAACGCCGCGTATAATATCATATCATCGCTTCTGAGGATTCGCAGAGGCACGAACGAAGGAAGTGCTGGCGAGCCTCTGCCGCATTGATTTTGACACAATCGGCGAATTGAGTAGTGATTTAGCTAAATACGATGCGGACCCTGTTTTTGCCGATGTGGTTATTAAAGAATGCTTAAACACAAGTATAGTTTATTTGTGTTCAAGTGTGTCTGGAACGTCAAAATGGTGTGATGGAATGATAAATAGTTTGAAGGGCCATGGGGGCATTGGGCCTTTCTTTGTCTTTCTGTGGATTGGGATTTTGCTTGCTGGTGAAGAGCAACTGGACTGTTGCCCCCCAGAATAGAAGGATTTCTTTTTTTTTAATTAAAAAAAAGACTGCATCGAGCCTTATAATCCACAGCCCAGCTTCTCTTATTGAGTCTACTATGTTGAGTGTCTTTTAACGGATGTCCCCAAGGACATCCATTACAATATGAACGGTGCAGAGAAGATTAGTGTGGCCCGTGCACAAGGATGAAACACATAAATCGAGAAATGGTCCAGATCGAAAAGAAAGAAAGAAAGAAAGGAAGAAAGAAAGGAAGGAAAAAAGACTGCATCGAGCCTTCCATATACTCCACAGCCCTGCTTTTTTTTATCAAATCTACCATGTTCAGTGTCCAGTCTGTCTTTTAACGGATGTCCCTTGGGACGTCCGTTAAATTGGAATGATACAGAGAGAGAAGATTAGCATGGTCCCTGCACAAGGATGACACACATAAATCGAGAAATGGTTCAAAAAAAAAAAAAAAAGGAACTACATTGAGCCTCCTATATAATCCACAGCCCTGCTTTTCTTACCTAATCTACCAGAATCTGCTCCACTCTGTCTTTTGCTGTAAGTATGAAGAGAGAGTCTTGTGGAAACTGCTGTGTGGAAAAAGCTCCTCCCATATCTCACTGGCCTTTTGGCAGAATCTGTTGGCGTGCTGGGATATCCACGAAACAGTGAGTCAGGGATTCCTTGACTCACAGATCACACATCCTGCAGAGTGGGAAATCCTCTGGTCTAAGACACTCTCTATGTCTGTGGTCCAACCATTCATCGACCGGTACTGCTAGGTAAAGCAAATGTTGCTATAACCGTCTGACCTTCTGAGGTCTAAGGGAAGTATGGTACCCCCATTATAAATGGTTCATCCATTCCAGAGGGGTTTGCGTATGTTTGAGCCACCTTGCTGCAATGGCTTGTGCCGGATCTGCCGAATCGTCTCTTAACCAGAAGCCTCTGGTCACCATATATTCCCGCATAGTAATAGGTCTGCAAGAGGCCCTGTATTTGATTTGCCATCCCCATTCTGCTGGGCCCAACTAAAGATCTCCTATAGCTTGTGATCAACCCTACAGGGCCTATGTATACAGAAGAGGCAGTCCTTCCTGTGTACTCGCTTGCCATGTGCCCAGCCTTTTCCACTTCCTTCCCCTTCATGTTCTTACCGTCCCTTTTCATTTAGCATTTTTTTTTCTTCCTCAAGGTTCGAACCTTTGGCAACAGGGAGGTGTGACGAAATTGTGGAGGGATTATCCCCTCTTCCAGTGGTGTTTCAACCAGCGTTTCCGTGGGATCTTTAAGTTCAAATATTTCAAATTTTGCTACCCCTGTGCTTCATTAGTATTTTTCCGAAATTCCAGCGCTACCGAAGGGTGAGCCAGGTATTTCACCGTCGTGCGATCCTCTGTTTGTCCACTTATCACTCTCCTTGAGCAAGTTTTGCCATGCCAGGGAAATAGTATCCCACATTTCTTCATGATTGGCCTCTAGATTATGACAACCCTCGAGGGTTTCTCGGAGTTCCCTCAGGGATTTCCTTGTGTTGGTGCTCTGATCCCATGATTGCTTCATCTGGAATGGCGTTCCTTCCCCTTCCCCTTCCTCTCCCCCCCCCGCTCCCCCTGCCTCGCCCCCCCCCCTCCCCCTCCATTCTATTGATGGGGTGCTACACCTGCTGCAAAGCGGTTTCAGCGTCCCAAGAGAAAGTTAGCAAACAGAACCCACTCGAGGTGCTTCCCTGCGTTGTTGCGGCCAACGGGATCCAGCATTGATTGCTTGCCCACAGGGGGAAGGATTTACTGCATTTGGAGCCCACACGTATAACAGGTCCCCTCCCCACTACATGGTCTGTCCCCATTTTAAAAACATACTTCAAAACCAGTTCTTTTTCCTCCCTCTCGAATCGGGTCGTCAAACTGCCTGAAACCACCTTAGAACCTAGGAACGGGCTGGTTGATGAACGGTCAGCGTGGATTGCTCCCTCAAGGATGAAGGAATGACTGTCTGTTTCTAGCCTGGTCTTCTTGTGGTGTGGACTGGTTGTGTCTTCCTCCATCCGCCCCTCCGTTGCCTGCTTGCATCCCCCTCTACACAGTGACTCTGGGCTGGCGCTTCGTCTGCTAGGCCTACTGTGCACTCTGCTTCTAACCTGTCCCTCTGTTGCCTGCCCGTTACCTTCTCTTCCCTGTGACGGCAGGCTGAATCTTCGCACGCACTGTGTAGCACAGCGAACATGTTCGGAGCTTTTCTGAACGCCCGAACATGTTCG